ATACAGATGTACATTCATTAAACAAGTGATCTGTTCACGGATGAATAATAATTTTAACAACAGAGGATAAGAATTGAGAAACGAGTTACTGTTTTACTGTCATGACAGTTTGGTTAATCGATCGTGTCTTTATTTACATCGCGATAAATGTCGATATTAGATGATGGTTCCAATGAGGTACCCGTGGAGACTAGGCCCTTAACAGTCTATATATGGATCATGGGATCAATTTGGTGTCGTTTTATCCCGGCGGACGCTGCTCATATTATCGATCACTAGACTGTCTGGTATATATTATGTACAGACTGCCGTCATATAGGTGGCAGATTGCTGAGCAAATTTAAGTAAGACAAGGGCTCCCCCTACAATGAGTGAGTGAGTGAATGAATGAATGAATGAATGAATGAATATAGACAACATGAAACAGACAAAATTGACGATGACCATCTATGAGTCTTGGGATTGAATAAGAAACCATCAAACCATTGGCATGGTTTATTGTCTCCAGAAAGTTCTGTGTAGGTTTAGACTGGCGTATGAATGCAGGATGCTAAACAGGCAGCGGCCTCTATATTCGCCAGAATATTGAAAGTTACTGTAACGTCCAAGTCCTAGAACAATCAGTTTTCAATCAATGACCCGACAATACAGATTCCAAATTGCGCAAATTGCGATACTGTTGACATTCATGAATGAACAAGGACCTCTAAACATTTAATATGTACATTGATATGAAATAAATACACGTGATTTGAGAAAATTTGCAAGTATCTATCTTATCACGTACACTGTCTGTCAATGCATCAATCGTCACCTGATGCATGAATGAAATGCAAGATATTCGTCAAAATCCTATACAGAATCGATTGGTCGTGTAGGCACCTATATGATGAACGTTTAGGTCACTGGCATATCTGGGGGTGATGGGGTAAAGCGGTTAAAGCCTTCGCTCCTAACGCCGAACACTGGTACATCTGTTGATGGAAATGGTACGTCGACCTAAGGTTATATAACGCATTAAAGGGATAGAATTAACGGGATTTCACTTAAAACACCTTTACATTCTTCTGTCTGAGTGAGTGAGTGAGTTAATATTTAACGTCACATCGGCAATATTTCAGCCATATCGTGACGAGAACTCTTCTGTCTGCAGTTGAGGACCATTTTCACTTGGAGATGAGAGTGTTGATTATCCTGAACATTTTGATTCGTTGAAATTGATCCCACGCTCGTATGAAACACGAAATATTCGTGGTCGGCGCTTTTTGTAATATCCAGAAAAAAAATTGAGGAAGTACCCGTGTTTAAAGAGTAATTCATCTCCTTTGGAGATGTTCCATGTGTAACGTTGAAATCTGTATTGTCTGGCATACTATTAGGCTAATCCTCCACAGTGGAACTATTTTTATCATATAAACGCCTACATTTGTTTTACCCGGTAATGCAAGCGCATCTAATGAGCCTTTGTATCTAAAAACGGTCGATATTGGGAAACTGTGTCGGGGATAATTATTCATTTGCCCGTCGATATTGTCAACTACGGTTTTTGTATTCATTTGTTGCTATGTTATGATGTGTAGCAATGCACGGGTTCCTCATCTGAAAACTGTATGTAAACATGACGTAGTATTGTCAGCAGCAAGATCTACATCTACTTTTTCCGCCAACATGATGAGTACGACAAGTGTGCCAAAACAGAACCACAAGGGACACTTTCTTCCTCTGATGGTATCGATCCTGACTTCAGTCAGGATGTAACGATTTCTTTGTGGATATTTTCCACATGAAGTGATTGGGAACTTGTCAATACAACGGGCTGGCAGTACAATGACAGATGGGTTGGCAAGTCACAATTAACATGTCACTGGTATGGTTCATATTCCTTTGCCACATATGAAATTGTTCCTTGAAGTGTGGGACTAGCGTTTGGGTAGCCGTGATATTGCTGGAATATTGCTAAAAGCGGCGTGAAACTAAGCCCACACACTCACTAACTTGAACTGTGGGTGATATTATTTTCAGCATGTAAGGCAACATATATACCAGAATTCAGCGTCATGAAGCTGCATTGCATTGTATGCACCAAATTACTCTCTGAAGCACATCGATCCAAAAGGCAAAAACATGTGAATTTGATTTTTCCAATTTTTATATTCAAGGTGTCAATTTGATGAAACGCCTTTTCAAAGAAATAACCCTTCAGAATTGTCTTTTAGTATGGATAGTGCTTAATTTTCTTTCTTTTTTATTTGTGTTAACAACATTATCACCTGAGGAACTCCAAATAATTCTTGATTTTTCTTTGTTGAATTATTGTGATTATGAAAGCTGTATTTGTTGTTTATTAACTGAGTCAACAGTTTTCTATCTAGCTGTTGCAGTGTGGCGGTCTGTAAATAATCTAGCCAACACTATGCATTAGTTTAGTTTTACTCCGCTTTTAGCAATATTCCAGCAATATCACGGCGGGGTACACCAGAAATAGGCTTCACACATTGTACCCAAGTGGGGAATCGGCGTTACGAGCGAACGCTTCAACCACTAGACTATCTCACCGACCCCATGGTAAAAATGAAAAACGTGTGTATCATGACATCAAGACCTCATCCAATAACGTCTTTAATGCCAAAATTGGACGCAACAATGGAACTTATTGTTTCTACAGTCAGAAACTGACCTTTGCAAATATCGTATTCATTATCATCTTGAACATTTGATCAATTTAAGCCGTTATAAAGCTCAAGAAACACATTCTGGAGCTATAATTCAGGAGATTCACAACAACGAGCATCCATACATAATTTGTGAGCCGTTACTGAAGAGTCATTATCCATTAACAAAGAACGTCGTATCTTTACAAGCCGCTGTAAATTGTATGAGGGAGTAATTAGGTTTTATTATATTTTCTGTTGTGTTGTATTGAATTCGACCACATTCATTCTCAGTGGTTCATGTTTCTTAATAGATCTGCACTCCACCTGGGAAATTGATTGGTAAATAAAAGCAAATTCTTTTTTTGTTATTCATGGTCATACACTTCTCATGGGGCAGGGGATAACAAATAACAAATAACAAAGAAATGTTTCACAACAAATGTGTTTCAATGTTAACTAGGTTGACAAATCCACACTGATTTCAGTTAAATGATTGCAGTGTCCAACACCCACAAACACCAACAGGCTTCGTAATGTGAGATGGCAGTGGCATGTGCTTCCCTGCTTATATAGTCTACATGATTAGAACGTTTCAAATTACATTGAACTCCAAAAGCGTCCAAATATAGTAATTTCCATAAAACTGTTTACATGAGATAGTAATACATTCCTGACAACTAACTATTGTTAAAACATGATGTCATACCCGAAACAATGTTATACAATTACAACACTATCAACAATAGATTTCACTGCCACATGATACAGAATATTAAGTTACTGTCTGAAGCAACGAAGCAGTTTCTGACCTAGTGAGATATTAAAAACAACTGTGTAAACACTGTACTATAAATCTTTCAATAACACCTTCATGCCCTTTAGGAAATGTACCATCCTTCTTTCTACTTGAAAAGGAACCTCAAAGCACTTTCCAAAACATAGTCTTGTTGCTAATGGTGTGCAAACAGTATTTCTTGATTCACCCACTTCAATTCAATTTATTCATTATCGATCGCGTGTATAGTATCTTAAAAGATATCTTAAAAAGGGGATTAAATATTTTGGGAAATAACATTTTTACCGTTGGGGACTTGAAAGCACAATTCCTTGAAATGTTCGATGCACAACTGTTAAACGAACTGCAAAGAATTCGATTTATTTATGACATGACTATCTTGATAAACAATCATGGCGCCATACATGGCAGCAGCACCCATTCCCCCTATCATTCGCCATAAAAAGGATGTTTTGTTACATCCACTATCTTTGAAAGATATGGGAATTTGTTGACATGTTAAAAGTTTCTAAACCGGCTCTTTACGTCCTGCTGCAGTTTATGGAGAACTTGGTTGATATTCATTTCCAGATACATCAGACCAACGTGATATTGAATCAAACTTCTCAATACATCCCGCCATGCTTAAAAATAATAGCGGAAAATATCACCAAACAGAGAATGTCATCAAAATTCAAGACTAATGGCTGGTTTTAATAGCACCTTTATTAGACCCATATCAAACAAACTTCACACGGTTTCAATATGGAATACCTTAAATAACAGTATTTCTGCCAAGTATTCCACAGAGTTGTCAATGTTTTTGAGAAAGAGTGAGAGTTTCGTTAGCGTGTTGATCGAATGGGCTTTCATAACATCAAAGGCTCCCTAAAATCCAATAAAACAAAAATGTATTGCTGGGTCCTGCAAAAGTAACACCCAATCCATGTTGCAAAAATAAATCCCCAATACACAAGACTTCACTGTCACAGAAAGCATTTGAGACATGCAATTGATGCCATTCGGTGTCTCAAAAACAAAAATCATTTGTTTCAGTTTTGGGAACCTCGGAAAGAAAAAGTAAAAACAATTGATGTTTAACGCTTAAAACCATTATCCTAATTGACAGCAGATTTATGTACATGGACTGGAAATAGAAATACCAGGGAACCCGTTTGGTATTCAGAGCTATGCATAAAGATTTACATAAAGAGTTACAAAGACTCCCCACAAGACTCTAACTTAGCTTAATGTGGGATGAAACACGTGTCACAGACGTTTACCTTTTTGGTGAAACGGGTATTGTGCTGACAAATATACAATGATACCTTTTTGGCATTACCAGGCTTTGGCGTCTGAATTTCAAAACGTTTGAGGTACAGCCAAGATTTAAACAGAGACCTTCACCAAAAGCTATTTGATGGGCTTTACAGCATTCCAGACCTCAGTAAAGTTTTCAAAAGACTTTATAAGTTAGTTGGATCGAAATGATTCTTATTCAGCAGATATTTGTCAGGTTTATGGAAACGGATGTTCTCAATTATTCACGTGATATCGTTTTTACATTTCAGGATATGAACGTAACATCGACTGACGATATCAACTCAACCACAAGTTCTCCCAATAAACTGATCGAAGTACACACATTGGAAATCCTACTTTGGGTGTTAGAGAAACATGTGCCATTTGCAATTGCAGTCAACAAGTGTGTTACTCCAATCTGGTACGCTATCGGTACCATCGGCAACATAATGTCAGCAGCCATTTGGCTAAGCCCCCGCCTACGATCATTCAACAGTCCAGCCTACTATCTTGCATCTCTGGCAATCGCAGATGAAGTGTACCTCGTGCTGCACGTCTTCTATGAATTGGAGAACCCTTGGCTGATTGGTGCGCTTAATCTCAGTGGATGGTGTGAAATGTGGAATCTTCTGTACATGGCAGCTCAATATACTTGTGTGCTACTGGTGTTTGCCTTCACGGTGGAACGGTTCCTATCGATATGCCATCCCTTCAAATCAGAGAGGTTCAGCCGCACATCTCGCTCACCTAAAGTCATTGTGGCAATTGTCATGATATCGGTTGTGTTTGCTACTCCTCAGGCATACTTCTGGCACGTCACAAGCTATTCCGAATGTCAGTTGCGACACAGTGAAAAAGCTCAGGGTGAAAAATCATTCTATTATATCTGGTCCTGGGGCTCAGAGATGATTATGTTTGGAATTGTTCCCATTCTGGTTCTGTTTTCAAATATCTGTGTTCTCAGGAAGATGCGACATGTTGGCCAGTTGAAGATGAAGGACACAACAACCATCTCAACCGCTAATATGAGATACTTATCAACGACCATCACGTTGTTGTGGGTGTCATTTTTTCTGATCTTTACGACTCTCCCAGTCACCATCACATTTGCTATTCAAAACAGGATAACACTTGGTCCAAACCTTCCCCTCCAGGAAATGGCGGAGAACTCTACGTGGCAATCCTACTTCTCCTATTACACTGCAAGAACGATAATAAAAGAAATAGGCATGTGTCATCACGTATGTAATATATTCATCTATTGCCTCACCAGCAAGAGATTTCGACGCAGAGTTATACATATTCTGTGTGGGCCTCTGGATTGCTCAAAAGCCACAGAACGTGAAGAGTCTTGGAGGAATCCAAGTCCTTTGTTGAAGGATACGACAAAGATTTGTCTCAATTCAAGATAAACATTTTAAAACTTCTCTTGCCATTTGACTGATTTGCTCACTGTATACACTGGACGTTTTCAAAAGTATTCATTGAAGGTCATGTGGATGTATTACGACGTGAGGTCTTTCATACCAGACATATTAAAACAATTGCCTTTGGCTATGAAACATTCTTCTTCACGAAAAATAGCCTCTTCACTTCAATTCAAATTTCATTTATGGATGCTCATACTTCAGATAATTTGTCCACTTTTGACAAGTGCAATGATCACAACTGACTTGCGTTGATGACATGGAAATATATGGAATCGGGAAATGATTTATGTAAATCTATGGATTGAACAAGCAGCATTGTGTGTAAATAACAGAAGGCTTTACGCGGATTCGTAAAGAAAAACATTCTTTACTTCACTTTTATACTCTTTCCTTTAACTGTTTTGAAGGAGTATATACTACTTGACGAATTACTGTCGTACATTCCATCTTGTTATTGTTCATTCCATTCATTCTCACACTTGACAAATTTAATATAGTTTTTATGTTACCTATGTTTCAAATTCATATCTGTTTGATGTTCGATTTCGTTTCTGTTTATTCCAGTGTCTAAGTAATAGTACTGTTTTAGTTACCTAGATATTTTCATTTGAAATAAAGGTTAAAGTTGAACGAAATATAATTATTGACACATTGACTGTTTAAATATAGTTTGTTAATGCACAGGAGGCGGATTTACCAAATATTAAGGATATATTGAACCGCCATCAAATGCCGAAGTAAGCTATGCTCACCGCGGCAACTACCACGTGTGACAATGCTAACGCTGCAAAGAGTGCGAATACAAGTAATATAGCCATACCCATAAGAATTCTCTGCTAAAAACACAGTTCTGACTAAATTATGTGCATGTGAATAACCGAGCAAGAGTCAAACGACACTCTTTCCTGTATGTTGCTATAGACAGGAGACATTGCCTTGTCTGGTTCAGACCCGATTTGATGACAAACAACATCATACAGCTGTAATACTGCTGAAACAAATATCTGCTCATGATATAGTCACAATTGTACAATCAACTCTGCCTTTGGCAGATAATTCTTATGAATGTGGAAACGGTTTTGTCGCTTCTATTTGGTCACATCACAATCAACTGATCTTCAACAAAGTTGAGAGGAAGGATACAGAGGCTTTTATGAGCAAATCTAAATTTGGTATAGAATCTTGCTTGGTAAAGATAATGCTTGTAAATAGTAGACAAAGCTTGTCAAAGTAGCCGTATCCAAACTTGTAATGTGGAAAAGGTCAACTGCTGATACAGTGTTGGTGTTTATGCATCTTGGTAAATGCACGTTGGAGCGAGTCCGTCACTTTACCAACTTCTAACCGCAGTTATCTAGCATTGCTCTTCGTGCAAATAGGTGGTTGCCATGACTCCGTAAACACTACGTGAAAGCAATCAGCGGGACCAGTCTGTCACTCGTCTAGTCGGTTATTAGCTTCTTTTTCCTATTTGACGGTGACCCCTGCAACCAGGGTTGCCTACACGTGTCAATTGTCATAGTCCTGTAATGCCACGTGTCACTCGTCTTGTCGGTTCACAAGATTATGTTGCATAACACTGTGCCTCCAACCAAGTTATTATATTTATCATGTAATCAGTGCAATATAGCAATCTCATAAACTTGGTGTCCAAATCTGATAAATATGCAAATTAGGTCAATACACGAACTACTTTCCCAAAACTCCATACACGCCCTACGAATCCAAAAACGTTTAACATTTCATTGGTGACGTCGTCGCGAGGTTACAGGGGGTTTTCCATTGCGTGGGCGCAGTTGTAAACAAATACGATTGCCCCAATTATGAAAATTGTTGATTCTGTAAGAATTGATGACAGAGGTTCTGGAGTCGTTACTGCAGTAATTAACTTTGGAAAACATGATACGGAGTACATGTACTTGGTTTACATTGAAGGAACGGATTATGAGGTACGAGTGAAAGGTGATCGTCTAAGAAAGGTACCAACCAAGGATTTCGATCTGTCGATCACAACAATGCAGACGACGAATCGATTTCGTCAGGTATGAGAAAATTGATATTGATGAGGTGAAGAAACTGTTTCCAAATGAATGAATTACAATTGTTCTGTTGAAAACTGCACGACTTTGTTCGTGTTTTTAAACAGAAAGATCTTATTTTAAGCAAGAGTTATGTTTGCACTATCTTAGCGACTGGTCACAACCATATGCCGCCGTCATGAACGACCTTCACCTTGGTGTATCGCTAAGTATTCTTACCCGAATGATCGATTCACTTCATATAAATTCACGTACAATTTGCTTCATTTCTAGTAGTAAATGTAAGAGTGACATTATATGATAAAGAGGTTATTAACCTAGTGTGTTTCCGTATCATTAATATCATACTTTAGGAATAAATGCTTGCATAATACAATGTATTCCTAATATATGATATTAATGATACGGAAACACACGACGTTAATAATCTCTATTACCCACTTGCTGAACGAACAGATGGTAAGACGCACAAGGATGACATGTGTCATACTGGTTTGACTCCCGATTCGTGCGGATGGATTGGATAATCACGACCGTGCCCTAGGGGTCACGTTGAGCCAAAACTACTTTTTCATTCATAACAATTCATTATCGTTTACAACAACTTCGTGTCGTCATACTTGGCGATGCAGACGTCATAGCTTCAGTACCTGAACTTGACCTCAGCTGTTGCACCCAGTTGGCAAGACAGTGACATAGGGCGACAAGACATCAGCTCAGAATGAACTGAAGGGCTGTACAGTTGAAAAGGCGAATACTAACATTAACGTTTGCTATAATCACAACATGATATCTAAGGAAAAACGTGAAGTGTCTGCAATCTTCGACTCATCTGTTGATAACCACGCCGAGTGACATTTGCAAATTATGGAGGTGGTGGATTTGACAGTCCCTGAGTCTTCGAAGCTCAAAGCTATCTCTATCTATCCTCTCATTGATTCTACAGTCCTTATTTTTGCAAACATACTATTCACACTTTGCTAAGAATCAAATCATGGATTCAACAGAAAACTATGATGTGGGGTCAATCTTGGTTTAAATATCTAAGCCTATTGTAAGCATGGATCCTAAGTTTCAGTATGTCATTTCATCTAGTGGATCCCATACCTGCTATTGACAGGTGTTGTGTACTTGTCAATAACTCGTTCCATGATATGCAAAATGGTCGATTGGTGCCATAAAAAACATTTTTGTGGTTACTCATGTATCAAGTACATAACGTTAGATTAAAGTGGCTGTTTGCCTAATGAGGGGTTACCATATCATTATTTATCCAGTTGTATATGGATACAATTTCATAATATAAATGGCTGACTGTGTCTAAACTGCTAACGGCTGAAGGGATGGTGTAAATCCAGCTAGGGCCCATGCAGGAAGCAAATGTACTGTAAGTCTCCATGGTCCCTAGTATGGTGATCTACCTTCAGTTGTTGGCAATCTATAGCCTGTTTTTACATTGTCTTGTCATTTCTAGCTAACATGTTTTAGATTTCATCACTAGTTTTAACTGGATTTCTGTGATATACTAGTAGTTTTACTGTTCTTCGTCAACAGGTTTTAATTTCTTATTTATTGATACATGATATAATCATTAATTGTTCTCGTCACGATATGTCTGAAATATTGCCGATGTGACGATAAATATTAACTCACTCACTCACTCATAATATAAATCTACGTTTAAGTAAAGTTGTGAAGTTCTGTGATCCCTAGCAAAGTGTGAGTAGTATACATGAAATGTCTTCAACAGGACTCTGCTCGTGAATACAAAACGTAAATTCATTTTAAAAACTGGAATTCATTTAATGTGGGTAATATTTAGATGCTCCAATTGTTCTTGTAAATACAAGTTTGACAAAAATCTTGATGTTCCTGTCGTATCGGACCACACTATCGCTCGCTGGGGTAAGATACGAAGTTCACTGGTACCTAATGTCCCGTGTCATCTCTACAGTTGCTAGGTTTTCAAATCGTCTCAAACTGTGTCAGTGTGTCACAATCACGAAATTTATATTGACACTACGTAAAAGACCGTCAACACGTCAGTGTCTCTATCACCCACGCAAAAATTATATCTGTAAGGTATGTTGGGATCCATATAATTGTACAAAGATATGCTCGGACACTGCAGGGCCAAATATACCAAATACATCCCGTTGCCATTGGTGAGACAACTGATTTGAAGGAGACATACGGCTGCAAACACAAGAGACGGAGTCTTGTGCCGTGAAGCTAGTGTATGCCAAGAGCCGTTGGGGTAGTCTGGTGGTTAAAGCGTTCGCTCGCCACGCCGAAGACCCGGGTTCGATTCCCCACGTGGGTACAATATATGAAGTCCGTTTCTGGTGATATTCCTGGAAATTTGCTAAAAGCGGCGTAAAACTAAACTCACTCACACAGTCTTAGTGTATGCCAATGTGAATGAGTCTGTTTCGTTGAACGCATTTTAACAGCCTTCCAGTGACGTCACGACGTGCCACGATCAGCTTAATGTGTTCCTGGATTCAGACTTTTGTCACTTTGGTGAAACCCATTTGAAGCTTAATCGGGAAGTACCACGATTCGAACACACCATTATACGTTTCTGACGTGCCGAAAGGAAGCAAAATGCAGCGCCCCGGACGACAAGACGCCTCTTGCTCATCCGTTCGACGGACCGAATCACATTCATTGAGCCATCTAAACCATTTGAGCTTAAAACGTTTGTGTTAGCTTCAGCCTGGATTTCAAGACTAACTTACCAGATTTCGTATTGTCCATTTGATTTACATGTGTACAAATGGAGGATATATTAGATTATGTCAAGCATAAAGTAATCATTATAATATAGAACAATTTTTATGGATAACAACTTCTTTATTTCGTGAGTGCGACGTTTCGATGCAGATTCTTGTACCGTTGTCAAGCAAGAGTGTCAAGCAACAACGGTACAAGAATCTGTATCAAACGTCGCACTCACGAAATATAGAAGTTGTTATCCATAAAGAATGTTCTATATTGTAAATCTCAACTTCTAAAATGCCACTCAAACAAGATAAAGTAATCATCACTTTGCCTTCAGCCGTGCAATTTCGCAAGGCTATGTTATACGTGTCCGCCATTGTAAATATTTATATCTGTCATAGTACTAGGTTCATGAGACGGGACATACAAATAGATGGAATAAAACCGGCAGGTCCATATAATTGCCGCACTTGACGATTACAGGGATCAAATGTTCATGATAATGCTCAGTGGTGAACTTTGTCGTTGGCTATTATACTCGACCGCCATCAGTACATTGGACAGTGTAATGCCTAGAATTCGTTGAAAGGTGAGAACACAATGACTTTCCCACAGTTCCTGCAACACTATAGTAAACGTCAGAGTTCTCTATCACTTCGGTCATCCCGATCACATTCAGCTGAGATATTGTGAAAGAAAAGAAAAATACAGTACAAATGATCTTAATTGGACACGCCCCTGAAACTGAAAAGGATAAGCATTTACCTCTCTTTGAAGAATATCACATGGTTAACACACCTACTTGTCCATGTGACATATATACTAAATGTAAGTTAACTGTTGATGCAGATACTTTCGAAG